TCAGTCTTTCTTCATCTCCTCAGCATATATAGCATTGTGCCTAGCATGTACATTCTGAAGAAATGCTCCAGAATGAATGAGTGGCCAGAGATGGAATTCCAGATCCAAACCAGCTACGTGACCAAAGGCAAATCACTTATCATCTTTGAATCTCAGATTCTCTCATTTATAAAGTTTAAGAATATTTCTTCTCCTGTTTACTTTACAAGATTGACGTGAGAATCAAATAAGAAGACAGGAATTTTTGTATAACACTTTAATTTTGCAGATGCTTTCAAAATATTAACCAAATTCCACTACAATAAAAACTATGAAAACTGGTCTGAAGCCTTCATTAAAGTTGGATTTAGATTTATTAAAATCCATTCTGGTTTTAAATGTATGAAATTACTATTCTATAAAGTATTGTTAATATATGTGCTCTGCATTATCTCATACTATCAGTGCACACACTAAGGACAATCCCTAACAGCCTAAGGAGCCAGGGGAACAAGACCAAGGAAATTCAAGACAATAAATAAATAAAGCATGCTTTGGATTTATGGTTCAAACGAATGTGATACTAATACTAAAAGAATACTAAACTCTTCCATTATGGTGTCTCCAAAATCAAAACACAACCTACATCTCATATCTATTCACCAAAAAAACACACACACACACAGAAAGAAAATGGAAACAAACTTCCTTTAAAATTCATCTACAATGAGGTAAAAAAAGAAAATTACAGGAGGATATGGATCATACAATCTCATTTATGTAAAAAAATAGATTTTAAAAAATGATGTATGTATGCTCTTATATGTTTAGAGAATTTCAATATGGACGCCCGAGAAATAGTCACCTCTGAAGAGAGAGAATGGAACTTAGGGAACTTATTACTTTCCCTAATACACCTTTCTGCACAGATTGAATTACTTACTATTCAGAAAGTTATCTCTACGATGTTTTTTTAATCAAGGAAAATATTTATAATATATCATTAATGTAAAAAAGAAAAACTACACAATGTATATTGTAGCAGCATAGGAAAAAAGGTCAAAGTATAGTCACTATGGATTACCTAGGGAGGGGAGTGAGAGTGGGGAAGAGAGAGGGAGAGTCACTTTTTATTCTGCACATCTGTGTGCTGTTTTTTGTTTTTTAGACTGGCACGTGAGCTAACATCTGTTGCCAATCTTTTTTTTTCCCCCTTCTTCTTCTTCTCCCCAAAGCCCACCACTACACAGTTGTATATTCTAGTTGTGGTCCTGCTGGATGTGGCATGTGGGATTCCACCTCAAAGTGGCTTGATGAGCATTGCCGTGTCTGCGCCCAGGATCTGAACTGGCGAAACCCTGGGCCGTCGAAATGGAGCGCACGAACTTAACCACTCAGCCACGGGCTGGCCCCTGTGTGTTGTTGATATATTTTAAAACAATATATTCCAGTATTATTATGAATTTTAAATAACATAAAATGTATCTACAACACCAAATTTTCAAGTCTGTAAATATAACCTGCTAAATTCATATAGTCAGAGAGACTCTCACCAATGAGAATGTTAGCACAGAAGTGTGGTCGATTTTACTTACTCTGATATGTATTCAATATCTTCTCAAAAACTTAGGGTTAGGCATCTTAAGCAAAAGCCAACAACTGGAATCTTTTTGGACAAGAAATTTTCAAGACCTATTTAAACAACGTTCCATTTGCACAACGCTTTCAGAATAGATAAGTTCACTGCATGCTGTTATTAATTTACAACAGTCCTTCCTCATTCTAGTTTGTTCACCTTCAAATTTATTTTCTAGCACGTAACCTCACTGTCTTGAATCAGATTAAGCAGTATTTAGAAGCATTTACGGAAAATATTCTGTTACTACTTTTGAGGGAGAAATCACTCTTTATGTTGAAACCTATAAAACCATAAACATCTTTTTCACTCTACAGGTTTAATATACTGCTTTATTTGGCAGTTTATCCAATAACCTAAACAGGATTGAATATAGACGTTCACAGTGAAACAAGTGCAATATCCAAAAACACATCTAGAACTTTCCCATCAGGTAATGAAATGTAACATTTACGGTATTATAGTATGTTGACTTAGAGAAGCAACATGCTTGAGTAAAACTTTAGAAAGAGTTCTAAAATGGGAATCTAGTGATCTGCGTTCGGGATCAGTCTTATCACTAATTTGTTCTGTGAGCTATCTTGTAAGTCACTTCTTCCTCTTTGAACCTCAGTTTCCCCATCTGTAGAATGGAAGAGAGAAATGCTTAGACTACGCTCTTACTTTTCAGGGTCTCTATTTCCTGAGAGAAGCTGTAAAAACTACACACTATTACCAAAAGTGTATGTTTCTACCCCAAAATTTGCTTACAGTTTCCTTCTGATATCCATCATGGACTCCCTAAGACCTCCGTCCCAAAAGATCTCGAGAGTATTCTACACACTAAAACTCTACGCTAATTTTCATGAAAGAAATAGACTACCAAAGGGAAAAATAAAGCAAAAATAATTGTGAAAAACGTCACTAATTACTTCGAATCCCAAAACATATTAACAACTAAAATACATAGCAATTTTCTATAAACAAGATATCCTCAGGTCCAGCCTTGTGGCCTAGTGGTTAAGTTCAGCACACTCACTTCAGTGGCCTGGGGTTTGGTTCCTGGGCACTGAGCAGGGCACAGACTACACTACTCATCGGCAGCCATGCTGTGGAAGCATCCCATATACAAAATAGAGGAAGCTGGCACAGATGTTCGCTCAGGGCTAATCTTCCTCAGCAAAAAAGAAAGATTTCCTCAAATGGCTATCCTCTGACCCACAGGTGGATAAAGCTAAAATCACCCTTTTTTTTTTTAATATTGTAATGCTTACTAATTGAAGTAGATTTAACAATCATAACTATTTCAAATGAATCAATTTACCAGCTTTCTAGTCTCACTACACTATAGGTTAAGAACCACAGACTGGTAACAGACTGACTGAAGGTAGAGTTCCCACTCTACAACTTTCCTTGAAAATCTGGGTAAATTACTTAGCATCTACATGTTTGAGTCCCGTAGTCTATAAAATGAAAGTAATAATACCTCCCTCATAGAGGTAGCGAGGATTAAAGAAGGTAAAATATGTAAAGTGCTTGGCATAGTGCCTTACGCATAGTAAGCACTTAATAAATGTGAGCTGTTATTAATAATAAATACTAAGTTGGAATGCAGCTTTCATACTGAGAAATAACGCAGTAACTGCTACTCTGACACATTTTTTGTACACATTTTCAAATACTAAGTGGAAATTTCCAAAAACGAATTTCCTATTTTTAATAACATAACATTTTTGTCAATACTCTTTTCCTCTGGAAAGATTAAAAAATATGTAAATGGATATCTATACAACATACGAGAGGTGGTGAGGTAAAGTGGAAAGAAACTCAGCTTAGAGCCAGACAGATCTGAGTTTTAGACCTAATTTAACCACTTACTAATTATGTAATCTGGGCCCCTTTAACTCTCTCAACCTTGTAAGCTGTTGCAAGGATTCATAAAGTATGTAAAGCATCAAACACAGTACATGACATGTACTACGCACTCAATAAACAGTACTCATTACTATTCTTCTCAGCTACTCCCGTAGAGATGATAAAACCAGCTTTGCTAGGGAAGAGGGAAGGTACGGGCAAGCACAAATGCTAATTAATATTCAGGCCAATGATGAAGGACACTTATTGCATCTTCTCAACGCCGTAGTTTTTAAATCAAGTACTTCTAATGAAAATGGGGCCCCTAGTTCCTGGAAAAATTTCAGGTATTTCAGGAAATGCTGTATGTCAGGGATTTTAAGAACCTTGTATTAAGGGAGATACTAGCTAGTTTCTTCTGGAGTTAAGTTGCAAAAGTCTGAAAACGTTATCTACTCAGTTTTCTGACAAAATGATTCACTTAACTTTGCTCGTAATGAAGCAAGTAAATCTCGCTTTCTATTACACTGCTCAGTTTCACGAGCTAACTTTCATATCTGGTGCTGTGTGTGAAAACAAAACTTGATTTAAAAAGACTACAAACTACCTTAGAATTTGTTCAAATATTTTCAAATGTGATGCTCAAACACATAACCCAAACACCAAACCAAAAGGAAAAGAAAAAAGTCCAAAGCTGACTGCATTCAATTCTTAGAAAGGTGGAATCAATTCAAGTAATCGAATGAGCCTCTAACTTCCAAAACACATCTACAAACACGGAAGTCATAATTTAAAAAATAAAACTGGGCCAACAAATACAAACACACAGTTCACGGAGTAACTGAATATAGTCTATCCTTACTTCTACTCCCTGCGTGGAATACTTTTTTTATCCTTTGACTTGGCCTTCTCAAACTCCCTGGGCAAACAACCTACTCATCAAACTGTTAATTGTATAGTGTAAGAATGAAGTTAACGCGTGACCCACAAGGAGCTCAGTCCTGGAAAAAGTTTTGCCCCAATGACCTTGGTCCCAAAGATTCCCCTCCCTCCTGCCGGTCCTTCCACGTGCTGCCGGCTGCGGTTACTCCAAAGGTGGCTGCACCTGAATGCACGAAGGGAACAAGGACTGCTCACAGCACCTGGGCCGAGCCATCTCTTCCCTCCGGACACCCACTCCCCCGCGGCGCGCACACAGCCCCCGACCGAAGCCCTGCGGGGATGACCCGACCTCGCTCCCCGCGCCTTACCCTCGCCCCCGGCGACCGGGCAGCGTGTGGGGTGACGACCGTGGCACAGGAAACTCTCTTTCCTACAACACCATATTCCGTGCCCGGCTGGGGTGCCAGTCATCTCGGGGAAGAGGACAGCCCCGGGAAGAGAGGGACGAAAGCAGGATGGAGAACCCTGCGCCACGCCACCACCACCTCCTCCACTTCTAGAGCTCCCTGGAGGCCCTTGTCGGTCACCAGCCCAGCGGCGCCAAGGCCTGACACGGCAGGGCCGACCGGAGGCCGCAGGTCCCGGCGTGCGGGGGGCGCGGCGCACTCACCATCAGAACTTTGGCCGCGTTCTCCAGCTGAGCGATCACTTCTGGGGGCCCCAGCGCCGCCGCCATCATGGTCTCTCTTCAATGACGCGCCATGCGCTGCATTCTGGGAGCGGGCGCCGCGGCCGGCCAATCGCCGCAGCGACCCCGGAGCCCCACGCGCTCCGGGCGGCCGTCGCACCCGCGGTCGACGCCGGCGTGGTGGCTTCCGTGCTGCTGGCCTGGCCGCCGGGTCTTGGGCTGCGGGGATGGAGAAGAGTGTGAGCCGGCCTCCTCGCCGGGGCTCGGGCGCCCGCACTGCGGCGCCGGCCGAGACCAGGGCGGCTGGCCCAGACGGCGACGGCCGCGCGGAGCGGGCGCCCGCGGCTCCGGGCCCGCGCATGCGTGCTGTGCGGCGCCGCGGCTTGTCGGCTCCTCCACCCGGTGTCCCCAGGACCCGCTCGCTTCCCTCCACCGCGACCGCTCCCCGCCCCCATCGCCCGGTAGTGCTCCCCCGCTTCTCTGCCCTTCACTCCATCGGCCCCTGCCCCTCCTCTCCCTTCCACGCTCCACGCCCTGCAGGATCTGACTTGGAACCGCTCTCCTTAGAGAGCACCTCCTTTCAGAACATTTGTTTTCTGCGTCCTACTTCTCTGTTCCTCTTTGCTGTGAAAAAGAGACCATTCCAGGATAGAACGCTTCGTTTTCTTAACGGATGTCCTGCAGGAGATTCGTCCAAATTTATATGGTCAGCAGGTCGCTGCGAGACTAACGGGAAAACCCATCCTTCTCTCGCCGTTTTCTCCTTCCGTGGGCTGTCTCATAAAGGAGCGGGGTACCTTGACTACCTGGCTTCCTGAATCCAGTAAGAACTCAGTCCCCACCAGTTTTGTCGTGTTTAAGAAATTCATAATAGTAATGTTAATTATGGAATACATGATGAAAGGTACGTTAAAGTATCAAGTAATCCAACTTTCCCTCCAGTGCTTGTCTCCTTTACGACGTTCCAGGCAAGGGGGCCTAAAAGAGCTATTTCAGTGTTCAAACCAGCTCCAACTTGTAGAAAAGTTGTTTGGATGGGAGGTTTGGGGGGTTTCTTTGAGCCAACATCTACTTTTCTATCATCTCTACCTTTCGGTGCTGTTCTGCTACTTGGGGATACACAGAAAGTCAAGTTCATTTCAGTGTTTGTAAGTTTCCTCTGTTGAAATCTTCCTATATTTCTTCATCCTAGCTATAAGTAAGCCATACTTTTGAGGTTTTATTTTTTATGTCACTGCAAACGGAATTGCATTATTATTTCCATCCAAAAAACCAGGTTGTTTCTTGTATTTGGCATCTCTGAGTTAGGAAAGTGAATTAACAAGGTTTTTATTGCCTGAGAAACAAAGGAAGAAACTTTTATTTCATTACAAAATGGTAGAGCTAGTGAAAATGCAGTTAATGGCCTTTTTTATTTTAAGAATGTTGTGAAACTAAGTGATTAACATAGTCCCTGACATTTAGTCAGCACTCAATAAATATTTGACTAAGTATAGTAATCTGCAATAAGATTACAAAAACATCTCTAGCTGTTGCGAAGAGTAATTACTGCAGATAAATGTTATATCTGCAAAAGTGTAGACAAATGAATAGTTTGTGACATTAAATGTTTGAGGTTTATAATGCTTCAGATTGGGCTTTGTGTTCTAAAGCATTTGTTTTGTGCAATTACCTAAGAATTTTGTGTCTAGACACTCTTTAAGAAAGAGGAAGGAAAAGTATTTAATCAATTGTGAGGATGAGTATGCTTTCTTTCCAATTAACTTAGTCTTTTGAATTTCCACGCTTTATAAAGTGGGTTACAGACACCTCACGTGACTGAGAGCCATGAATTTTAGGGCAGAGTGAACACTGAAGGTGCAGAATCTCAATATGGGAAGACGCTAGAATTTGCCTCCTAGTTTAACCTCCCCTCCAATGTCTGACTCTAGTTATTTTTTGATTTATTATTCAACAATAATATTCTCCTGGGAAGAGATAGGGAGGAGTATTCTAGCTTAACCATATGCTCTTCATATCCTGAAATAGAAGAGGAGATGAAAGTTGTGCAAATTCCAATAATTTCTCACTAGGCATGAGAGAGAAATGTTTATGGTCTAAGGAAGGTAGATATCAGGTTGAAACCTTCCGGAAATCAAGAACAGTCACAAATAAATCCCCTCTAATTTTAGGCTACTCTTTTAACACGTATGATGTCATGGGCTCCAAAATTATTCTAACTTATTCTTTACCAAAAGTGATTAAATATATTATATACTTTTCCTTGGAAAAATAGGTTTGGTGTTTTGGTTTTTTCGTTGTTTTTTTTTTTTTTTTAATAGAAACCAGTGGAATTTGTTGTATAGCCAACTTTCTAAATTTTGTGTCTTTCCTAAATTAGTGACACTCTGGGAACATTTATTAAGCAAAAACATAGTTACTGACCATCTCCACTGCTGACATTCTGGTGAGAAGGAAAAGCTAACTATTGTGGATTACAGATAATGATATTTGAAAACTAGAAGAGAACTTAAAGATTATAGAATCTTAAGATTTTGGAAATGAAAAAATCTTTACTTAAATGATCCCTTGTTTTTCAAATGACGAAAATAAGGCCCAGAGAAGTTAAGTGATTTAGGACCAAGCCAGGTAGAACCAGTTACCTATCTTACAGTCTAATATCTTTTGTGGTGAAGGGACAAGGGCTAGAATTCAAATCAGAAGAACTGGGTTTGTAGTGTATCTCTGCTTCTTACGGGATACACTTGCTGGGTAGGTAACAATGTCTCAGGACCTCAGTTTGATCATTTGTAAAATGGAAGCCATCACACGTGTATGAGGTTCAAAGAAGATCATACATTTGAGACAACTTTGTGACGCTGTGAAGCATTCTATGAATGCAAGGTATTACTGTTATCAGTTGCGTATTTATTAGGCACAGTGCTTGATGCTGTAGGACGAATTGAAATTGAAGTAATGGTCTTCACTTCCAAAGAGTTTGAGGTCTAGTTGAGGAGATGAGACTAATGTATTTAAAATAACAGCAGTTGATTCATTTCCATCATTTCTCTCACTCCTTTCCAACTGTGGTATAATAAAAAATGCATGTAGTCTTTGTCCCTGGTTGCTGTCAAGGAGCTCCTTAAATCCTTGGAATTTCCTGAGTGATAGGAGTATCTTTGGTTAATCATAACAAGCCCCTTTCAGTCACAGCTGAGGTTATCCTAATGAGGTGACTTAGAGTGGGGCCCCTAGATAGCCTCGTGATGAAGTGGTCACCCGAAAGACCAAATGGTTAAAGGGTAGGAAGCTTTGGTTCCTTTAGTTTTGGACCACTCACCAAACTCCAGGGAGAAGGGGGGCTGGAGATTGAGCTCTATAAAAACTCTGTAACACTAAATTTGATGAGCTTCCAAGCTGGTGAATACATCTACCTGCAGTGATGCATCCCAACTCCGTGGGGTCAGAGCCTCCTACCCTTGAGACCCTTCCAGACCTCACCTTATGTTCCTCTTCATCTGGCTGTTCATTTGTACCTTTATAATAAACCGGAAAATTTAAGTAACGTGTTTTCCTGAGATCTGTGAGCCATTCTAGCAAATTATCAAACCTGAGCAGGGGGTCATGGGAATCCCCAATTTATAGACAGTGAGACAGGAGTACAGGTGGTCTCTGGGACTTGCAACAGGCGTCGGAAGTGGAGGCAGGCTTGTGGGACTGAGCTATTAATTCGTGGGTCTGCACTAACTGTGAGTAGTTAGTGTCAGAAGTGAATTGAATAGTAGGGCAGCCAGGTGGTTTCAGAGAATCACAGACCAACATGTGGATTATTGAAATATACAGGAATCTGTATATCTCAAAATAGTAACCATTCCAGTCAATTTAAGAATACTACAATAATAATAGTTGATGTTTACAGCACAATTACCACATGAAGGACACTAAGCTGTTTTAATCTATTAACTCATTTAATCCTCACAACAACCCTGTGAGATAATATACTATTATTATCCCAAATTTTGGATGAGGAAATTGAGGCATACAGCAGCTAAATAACTTGCCTCAGAACTAGTGGAACTGGGATTTGAACACGGGCTTTCTAGCTCCATACCCCATGCTCTTAACTCTCGGATACTGCTTCTAGGTGGCGAATAAGTCGCTTGGAATGATTATAGCTTAAGTAAATACATTACAAACTATCATGTCAACTTTTTCAGTTATGCATACTATGAAGACTATTAAAAATCTATATCAAACTTGAAATATTTAGGAAGTAAAGCAAAACTGCCTATAGAAAGTGTGAAACTAACTTTTTAAAAGACAGTTTGTTTTGCGAATGTCATGACATTTGCTATATCCATTGACAGTGCATTCTGGGTACTCAGATATTCGGTAACTTGAACTTTATGCCACCTGTGAAGAAGTTGACTTATCACAGTTTAGTACATTAGCTGAGTCTCTCAGACTGTTAAATTGTGAAATACGGCAAAGTGATCTGGGACTACTATCAGATTCCTTATGTTTGCACAACCCATGATATAGTGTTCACATTTTTTTACCTTTTCACAATAATTGGAACCATGCATATTGGTTTGTTTTTGTGTTTCCCAAGGGATCATCACGTGTTTTTGCAAAAACATTTGTCAAGCCATAAACATCTTGTCCCCATAAACACCCTGATGAAATACCTTAGAGCAGCAGTTCTTAAAGTGTGGTCTGGGGACATCTTGTAGGACTAAGAATACCTAGCGTGTCCCTAGGATCCTTTCAGAGGGTCTACAAGTCAAAACTATTTTCAGATGGCCATAGTAAGCTCTTCCCTATCATTAATTATTTTAAATGTAAATGGATTAAATTCCCCAATCAAAAGACATAGATTGGCTGAGTGGATAAAAAAACAGGATCCAACTATATGCCTGCTCTTGTGCCACTTCTCTTCAACATACTGTTGGGAATATAGTGGTACTACTTGTACAAATAGTAAGTATTCACAGTTAAGTAGCATATTATTAGGATAACACTGTGCCCTAATGTAAAGGCCCTGACAAGGAATACGGATGAATTGTATGAATTATGCAACAGAATGAAAGATTATTCTGTTTTACTTGAGAGAATCAAAATCTCTTTTTTAACAGGCCTCTCTAAAGCCCAAATTAAATGAGACGCTTAATAAGAATAATTGCCTTTGATATAGAGGATACTTG